AGAAGGGATAGATATGCTCCAATTGCATATTCAAATGACTTAGTTTCAGAGGTCACTAGCCACAAGGCAAACAACATAAGAGTGTTTATGAAATCCCTGGCTTTGTGATGTTTTAGTGTCTGTGCAAAGGCTCCAGAGGGACCTCAAGAAATCATGTAATCCATTCCTGTGTCCCCAGCAGGGTCAGATATACCTAGCCTATACCTAAAGGTTTGTTATGGGCTTTGATGGTATGGGAGCTTTGCAAATATAGAGTTGCTATGGAATAGTGTGCTGATAGTTGTCATAACCAGGGATCCGGGTTTTCCGTTTTCCACAGGAAAGCAGAGGAAAAACGTGGATTTCCTCTTTTACATGAGAAAAATGTGGATTTTTCATTTTAACGGAGAAATGCATGGATTTACACTTTTCCAAAGAGCTGTCTACAGGCTGTCAGAGTTACAGCCTGCAAGGGGCTGGAGGGAGCGGGAGGAGGGCAGTCAGGCAGGGGGTGCCATGTACATGTATGTGCACATGGGTGCCAGGCAGCCTGGAGAGCAGCTCCCACAGGTAAGTGGAGAGGGAAGGGGGGATTGAGGCCCCCATGGGGAGGGAGAGAGGAAGTTGGGCTGGAGTTGGGGCTGGGGCTGCTGCCCGGTTGGGTGGTATGTGGGGCTTGGAGCCTGGGGCCAAAATGCACAGCCCTGGGAAGTTGGGGGGGGGGGGGGGGGGCCGGGGGGGGGGTGGCACATCCAGGAGGACAGGGGGATCCGTGCCCTCCAGATCTGTATGCAGGATGGGGGCAGAGGCAGGTGTGAGCTGCCCACTGTGGGCTTAGGCTCCCCACACTGCTGCCCTCCCCCAGAGCCTCCACAGCCCAGTGGGTGCGACCTGGCATGGCAGGGCAGAGCAGGGCTGGGCGGGGAGCTCCTTGCTACTATGAGTCCTGTGTTGCGCTGGCAAGGCATCCCCTTCCTTTCCAGGAGCAGTGGGGGCTCTGGGGGCTGTGAGGCGGGGGAGCGAGGAGCACTGGCAGGGCTGGGGTGGGGTGTGGCTTTGGAGTGAGGGGTCTGTACCTGAATTCTGTGAGCTAAGGGGGCAGAGGGAGCTCTGATTTTCCATGATAAAAAACCCCAAATCAAATACCAAAATTTATAGGTATTTAGAATTTATTTTCCTATAGTGATTGAGGCACTGGTAAGTTTCCAAATTGCTTTAAAATTGTAAATATATCAATAAAACATTGTGCTCAATTGAGATATAAAATCCATGATTAAATATATAATCCATGATTTTATATATAAAATAAAATGAAACATACATATGTGTGTGTGTTTCATTTTAATCATGGATTTTGGATTTTTTATCAGATAATTTATCATTTTTTTAAATTGGAGAACTTGTGATTTTATTTATTTATTTATTTATTTATTTTATCAAAGCAAAACAGGATCCCTGGTCATAACAAATCTTTGAATGGGGGTTGTCATCCAGTGCCCTTCAGTTTGCCAATCATTACACCCATCAGAATGGGACAGAAAAATTCTCAGACCATAAGAGTGTGTGTGTGTGTGTGTGTGTGTTCTGGGGCAGATGATCTGGAATGTGTCTTTGTATAATTTATACAATATGTATAGTTCAATAACAGCTTAGCCACTGAAGACAATTCAGGAGTCACCAAACAGCTGTTGTTTACTCTCCTTTCTTCTCTGTCTATTTTGATCTGTTACTTTTATATTTGTTTCAGCAGGGTTTTCACCCAAATGTGATTCAGCTTTGTTAAGAGCATCTGCTATGTGTCAAGCCAGAAGGGAGTAAGGGAAGAGAAAATACAGAGAGAGAGATGGAAAGAGACCCTTCTATTTAATTAAAGAGTATATGGCAATTACAAGGCTTTTGCTGCTTATTTGCTTGTTTTGATAGAAATCCCCTACTCTAAGACCATTTAATATCTTTTTTCAGAGCCATTTAGAACTTTTCTGTAAGTGATGAGTCGGTAGTTAATGTTGTTTACTCGCTTGCACATAACACATGTCTGATTTGTGGTTCAGTACAGAGCTGTAGCTGATAATGGTGCAAAATGATCCTGATAGTGGTGTGACTTGCAAAAAACAAGTGAGGCTTAGCTCTCTGTGTTTGTAAAGTAGCGATGTCTCAGTACCCATGGTACAACAGGTAAAGTTGCACTGGACGAATACCTCTTGCTGGGCACATCTGCACAAAATGTTTTACTCGAGATATAGAGATGCAGTAAGCATCACCATCTACACATGCAGACACTTACCACACAGTAATTTGCTCTAATCAGAAGTAAATTTTGCTACTTGTAAATACAGGTAACAAATTTACTCCTGATTACTTACTGCTCAGTACAGCACATGTAAACAGCCATCTGGCAGCAAATGTGCTCCCAGTCAGCTGGGCAGCAGGGGGCAGGAGACTGCCAGCCCCAGCCTCCACTTCACAGTTGCGATTGAGGAGCAGGGGCTGGGAGATTCCTATGTCCACGAATGCTGTTCTTGCATTTTTAGTGCCCACCGCAAGTTGACTTAAAATGGCTCGACTTTTTAGACCTATTCTGTGAAAAAGTAGTCCCATCTGAAGAATCTCAAATTGAGTACCAAAGGTTATTTATCTTTTTTTTTTTTTTTTTTTAATTGAGACCAGGGGTTGGCAACATTTTAACGCCCTAGTCCAGCTGCATATTCTCCTCTGCACCCTCCTACCCTTCCATCCCCCAGAGAGTTTAAGCTGCCCTGAAAAGTAAGGTACAATCTCATGACTTTTAGAAGCTCCCAGCAAAGTTGCATCATTTTCTCCTTCAGTCCCTCCTTAGAGGTCCCATTTGCTCTGATGCCTACCAAAATCTTGACAATACTGAGGTTGCTATTATATGAAGACCACATCCTAGCCTGCTGACCAGTGTATTACCCCACTTCCCCTGTCTGTCTGTACCCTTTGTTGTCCCCTGTCTTATGCTCAGAATGTAAGCTCATTAGGACAGGGGGCATCTTTTTTGTTCTGTTTGTAAAGCAGTGTCCTTAAAAGGCACGGGTTCTAGGGCCCCCAAAACCTAGAATAACATGTTCTAGATCTGTGGTACTCAACCTGTGGGCCAGATCCAGCTTGTGGAACCACATCATCCTGTCCACAAAATCCCCACAGGTCCAGAGATTTGGCTGTGAGGGAGAGGTAGCAATTAACATGACCAAATTTCCAAGCCCTGCAGGCCAGATGATGTGCTCCTGCACACTGGGCCAGGGCCAGAGCTGTGAGCGCAATCTGGCACAGACCCCAATCTGGCGCATGGGGCCAGAGTTGGGGCTGGGGCCATACACCCAGGTGAGCCCTGCATGCCAGATCAGGTTCATAGACTTTATTAAGCCTGAGGATCGATCCTGCACCACTCATTTGGCCTACCAAGCCAAAAGGTTGGGCACTGCTGTTCTAGATGTGATACTGTGTTTAATAACTATACATAAATAAGACCAAGCTATTAATTTACTGCTTCTCTCATTGCTTTCTGGCAGCTTCTCAAGCATGGAACACAGTGAGCCCCATTGGAGTAGTCTCAAATTACGTACCTTATTCTAACACACTGTGCCAAGAGATAATATCCAAATGTGGATCCAAATCTGCAGGGTGCTAGAAGCCAACAGTTTTGATTTGGACTCCTTATTTATTTAGGAACAAACCAAAAGAGTTGAATTTAGATCACAAACTGACTGTGTTCAGATTTGGTTTAGATCCTGCTCCACTTATAATGAATTAAAAACTTATACTTGTGATCTTGTAGGCCATTCAATTTTCAGGCATTTTTTTCCTATGAAAAAAATTAGGATAAAGTGAATGCTTTTTGCTTTGTTTTAAGTCTTAAGATTTGAGGGGGGGAGAGTTTTTATATCTATCTATCTATCTATCTATCTATCTATCTATCTATCTGATATAAACTCTCCCTTTGATAGATAGATAGATATCTTTCTCCTTCCAACATACTTTTCTCATGTGTGTATATCTATCTATCTATCTCTCTAGCTCCTTCCAACATACTTTTCTCATGTTTTTCTGATGGAAAAGGCAGGAAAAAGTGGTATATGTGTGCATGTGATTTTTTTTTTTTTTAATTTTATTTCAAAAGGTAAAATACAAACTGAGAGAAATAAGGGACTCTAAATGTATGTTCAGTAGGAAGTGTGTCAGGTACCCACATGAGTGTTTTGTACCTCCTGACACCAGTCATCAGCGGGGGGGGGGGGGGCCCCC